TGATGAATACAGACGGAAAAACCCTCAACAAGATATTAGCCAACTAAATTCAAAAATACAATAAAAAATTATTCCTGATGACAGATTGCGATTTTTTTTGAAGCAGGGTCTTGCTCTGTCACCCAGGCTGGAGTTCAATGATGCAATTTCAGCTCACTGCAACTTCCATCTCCTAGGTTGAAGCAATTATTGTGCACCAGCCTCCCAAGTAGCTGGGACTATAGGGATGCACCACCACACCCTCCTAATTTTGCTTTTTTTTTTTTTTGTAGAAACAGGATCGTGCCATGTTGCCCAGGCTGGTCTTATACTCCTGGCATCAAGTGATCTACCCACCTCAGCCTCCAAAATTCTGGCATTACAAGAGCATGCCACCATATCCGGCCATGACTGAGTGTGATTTACCCTGGAATGCAAACAAGCATGCTTTACCACATGAAAATTAATCAATGTGATACATTCTATCAACAGAATGAAGAATAAAACCATGTGATCATTTCAATTGATACTGAAGAAACAATTGATAAAATTCTATATCACTTTATAATAAAAACCTTCAAAACATTGGCTATAGAAGATGCATACCTCAAGATAATAAAAGCCATATATGACAGACACACCACTTGTATTATACTAAATGGGGAACAACTGAAAGTCTCTCTTCTAGGTTCTGAAACACAATAACGATGCCCATTTTCACCACTATTATTCAGCATAGTCCTGGGATTCTGTGCTAGAGCAATTATTCAAGAGAAAGATATAAATGAAATCCAACTTAGAAAGTAAAAAGTGAAATTATCCTGGTTTGCACATAATATAATCCTATGTTTGAAAAAACTAAAAGTGCCACAAGAAAACTGTTAGAACTAATGAAGAAATTCAGTAACTTTGCAGGATACAAAACTTACATAAAAGCTAGTAATATTTGCAACACTGTATATGCCAACAGTGAACAATCTGAAAAAGATATTTAAATAATCCAATGTAAAATCACCACAAATAAAATTAGATGCCTAGGAATTAATGTAACAAAAGAATTGAAAAAATATCTACAGTGATAACTATAAATACTGATCACAGAAATTACAGAAGACACCAAAAAAATGATAGGATGGTTTGAAAGAATTGATATTGTTAAAATATCCATACTACCCAAAGCCATCTACACACTTAATGCAATCCTTATCAAAGTATCAATGACATTCTTCACAGAAATTGTAATAACAATGCTACAATTTATATGGAACCACCTGAATAGCCAAGGCTATTCCAGAAAAGAAAAAAAAAAAAGAAAAAACTAGAGGAACCGCAATGCCTTACTTCAAATTATACTGAAGACATATGCTAATCAAAATAGCATGGTACTTCCATAAAAATAGACACATAGAACAATGGAAAAATAAAGAGAACTCAGAAATAAGTTCATTCACCTACAGTATATTATTCATTTTCAACAAAGGTGCCCAACAAAGGTGCCAAGAACGTACACTGGGAAAAGACAGTCTCTTCAGTAAACAATGCTGGAAAAACTGGATAGCCCTATTCAAAAGAATAAAACTTGATCTCTATCTCTCACCATATGCAAAAAATAAAATCAAAACAGATAAAAAAACTTAAAAAAAGACCTCAGACTATAAAACTTCTTAAAAACAAACAAACAAACAAACAAAAAAACATTAGGGAAAATCTCCAGGACACTAGCCTGGGCAATACCTCAAAGATTTCTTGAGCAATACCCTAAAAGCACAAGCAACCAAAGCAAAAATGAACAAATGGGATCACATCAAATATGAAATATTTTGCAAAGCAAAGGAACTATTTGAAAAGTGAAGAGGCAACACATAGAATGGGAGAAAATATTTGAAAACTACTCCTCTGACAAGGAATTAACAACTAGAAAATGTAAGAAACTTAATCAACTCTACAGAAAAAAAACATAATAATAATCCAATTGTGCCAGGTGCAGTGGCTCATGCCTGTAACCCCAGCACTTTGGGAGGCCGAGGTGGGTGGATCACCTGAGATCAGGAGTTCAAGATGAGCCTGGCCAAGGTGTTGAAACCCCATCTCCACTAAAAATATAAAAATTAACCAAGCATGGTGGCATGTGCCTTTAATCCCAGCTACTTGGGAGGCTGAGGCAGGAGAATCGCTTGAATGCAAGAGGCGGATGTTGCAGTGAGCTGAGATCACGCCATTGCACCCCAACTTGGGTGACAGAGTGAGACTCCGTCTCAAAACAACAAACAACAAAAAAAGTCAATTCAAAATAGGCAAAAGATTTAAATAGACATGTCTCAAAAAAGAGATACAAATGGCAAACAGACATATGAAAAGGTGCTCAACATCATTGGTCATCTTAAAACTGCAAATCAAAACTACAATGAAATATTCTATCACCCAAGTTAAAATAATTTTTATCCAAAATACAGGCAATAGGAAATGCGGGCAGTAATATGGAGAAAAGGGAACCTTTAAAAACTGTTGGTGGGTGTGTAAATTAGTACAACCACAATGAAGAACAGTTTGGAGGCTTCCTCATAAAACTAAAAACGGTGCTGCCATATCTTGCACCAATCCCATTGCTAGGTTTACACTCAAAAAAATAGAAAAAGGAAATCAGTATATTGAAGAAATATTTGCACTCACATGTTTTTTTGCAGCACTGTTCACAATAGCTATGATATGGAAGTAACTGAAGTGTCCATCAACAGGTGAATAGATAAAGAAAACGTGATACTTATGCACAATGGAGTGCTATTCGGGTATAAAAAGAATGAAATTTAGTCAGTTGAAAGAACCTGGATGAAACTGGAGGTCATCATATTAAGTAAAATAAGCCAGTCACAGAAAGACAACGTTTCATTTTCTCACTTACTTCTGAGATCTAAAAACAAAGCAATTAAACCTACTGAGATAGAGTATAAGGACATCTACCAGAGGTTGAGAAATGTACTGCTGGAGTAGGGGAAAAGAGGGGATGATTAATGGGTACGTAAAAATTGTTACAAGGAATGAATAAGATATAGTATATAGCACAAAAGGGTGACTATAGTCGATAATAATTCAATTTCACTTTTAAAAATAACTAAATGTGTATAATTTGATTGTTTATAACAAAAAAAATGAAAGCTTGAGGGGATGGATACCCCATTTTTCCATGATGTAATTATTACACATTGCATGCCTATATCAAAAAAGTTTGATGTATCCCACAAATATATATACCTACTATGTGCACATAGTAATTAAATTTAAAAAAGAAAAAAGAAATGATACTTCAGAGCTATAATAACCAAAACAACATGGTAAAGGCTTAAAAGCAGACACATAGATCAATGAAACAGGCTAAAGAACCCAGAAGAAAACAGTATACATCTACAGTGAATTTATTTTCAACGAAGTTGCCAAGAATATACATTGAGAAAGATATAATCTCTTTAATAAATGGTTCTGGGAAAACTGGATATCTACATGCAGAAGAATGGAACTAGACCCTTATCACTCACTATATGCCAAAATGTAATTAATATGGATTAAGAACTTAAATCTCTGCTCCTGTGAGTCGTGCTGTCAACCTAAATTCTCATTCATGATATACTGAATTTTTTTAAAATGTGGTACATATTCGCCATGAAATACTACACAGCAATAAAAAAGAACAAGATCATGATTTTTGCAGCAACATGGAAGAAGCTTTTGGCCATTACTCTAAGAGAAATAATACAGGAAGAGAAAAGCAAATATCTCCTGCCTTTACTTATAAGTGGAAACTAAACATTGTTCACACATGGACAAAAGGGAACAACAGATACAAAAGCCTACTTGAGTATGGAGGTAGACAGGCAGGTGACTATTGAAAAAACTATTTATTGGGGACAGTGCTCATTATCAAGGTGATAAAATAATATTTACACCAAACTTCTGTGACATGCCATTTACCTTCACAAGTATACCTGGACCTAAAATAAATATAATAAATAAAAAAAGTAGAAAACACTTAAATCTAAGATCTTAGACTAAGAAACTACCTTGGGGAAACTCTCTAGGACATTGGACTGGGCAAAGATATCTTGAATAATACTGCCCAACCACAGGCAATCAAAGCAAAATGGATAAATTGTATCTAGTTAAGTCAAAAAACTTCTGCACAACAAAGGAAACAAGGGGAAAAAAAAGAAAAGAAAATCCACAAAATTGGAGAAATATTTCCAAAGTATCCATCTGACAAGGGATTAATTACCAAAATATGTAAGGAATTTAAACAACTTTATAGGATAAAACTCTCATAATCAGATTAAAAAATGAGCAAAAGATCCAAATAGACATATTTCAAAAAATTATATTCAAATAGCAAGGAAGCATATGAAAAGATGCTCTGCATCAATGATTATCAGAATAATGCAAATCAAAACCATAATGAGATATCATCTCACTCCTGTTAAAAGTGGCTTTTATACTAAAGATAGGCAATAACAAATACTGGACAGAATGTGGAGAAAAGGGAACCCTTATACACTGTTGTTGGGGGTGTAAATTAATACAACCACTATGGAGAAAATTTAGAAGTGCCCCAAAAAACTAAAAATAGAGCTACCATGTGATTCAACAATCATAGTGCTAGGTAAATATCCCAAATAAAGAAAAATTAGCACACTAAATCTGTATGCACCTAACACAAGAGAACCCAGATTTATAAAGAAAGTTCTTAGAGGTAAACAAAGAGGCTTAGACTCCCACACAATAATAGTGGTAGACTTCATCATTCCACTGACAGCATTAGATCATCGAGGCAAAATATTAACAAAAATATTCACATCCTGAACTCAATACTGGACCAAATGGATTTGATAGATCTCTGTGGAACTCTGCACCCCCAAAGAATAGAATATACATTCTTCTCATCACCACATGACACATATGTTAAAATCTACCACATAAACATAAAACAATCTTCAGCAAATGCAAAAGAAACATAACCATATCTAACACGCTCTTGGGCCAAAGTGCAAGGAAAATAGAAGTTCTCATTTAAAAAGTCATTTAAAACCATACAATTAAATGGAAATTAAACAACATGTTCCTGAATGACTTTTGGGTAAAGAATGAAATTAAGGCAGAAATCAAAAAGTTATTTGAAACCAACAAGAACAAAGATACAACATACAGAATCTCTGGTACACAGCTAAATCAGTGTTAAGAGAAATATTTGTAGCACTAAATTCTTATATCAGAAGGTAGAAAGGTCTCAAATTAACAACCTAACATCACAATGAAGACAATTAGAGATTCAAGAGCAAATCAATCCCAAATCTAGCAGAAGGCAAGAAATAACCAAAATCAGAGCTGAGCTGAACTGAAGGAAACTGAGACATAAAAAAAAAAATTTCAAAAGATTGCATAATCCAGGAGTTTTTTTTTTTTTCCAATCAATATGATATATAGGACACTAACTAGACTAATACAGAACATAAGAGAGAACATACAAATAAACACAATTAGAAATGAGAAAGGAGATGTTACCATTGACCCCACAGGAATAAAAATAACCATTAGAAAACACTATGAACACCTCTATGCTCACAAACAAAAAACCTAGACAACATGGATAAATTCCTGGACACATGCACCCTACCAAGACTGAACCAATAATATCAGTAATGAGATCCAAAAGTGAATCAGTAATAAATAACCTACCAAACAAAAGAACCCAGGACCAGATGGATTCACAGCCAAATTCTACCAGATATACAAAGAAGAGCTGGTACCATTACCAGTAAAACTATTTCAAAACATGAAGTAGGAGAGACACCTCCCCAACTCATTCTATGAGGCCAGCGTCATCCTGACACGAATACCTAAAGACACAACAACAAAAAACTTCAGGCCAGTATCTCTGATGAGCATTGATGCAAAAATTCTCAACAAAATACTTGCAAACTGAATCCAGCAGCACATCAAAATGCTAATCCACCACAATCAAATAGAAATACCTTCAACATATGCAAATCCATAAATGTGATTTATCACATACACAGAACTAAAGACAAAAACCCCATCGTTATGTCAATAGATGCAGACAAGGCTTTTGATAAAATTCAACATCACTTTATGTAAAAAAAAAAAAATCTCAGTAAATTAGGTATTAAAGGAACATGCCTCAAGATAAGAGCCGTCTAGGAGCAACCCACAGTCAACATTACACCGAATGGGGAAAAGCTGGAAACATTCGCCTTGAATACTTTCACAAGAGAAGGATACCCTCTGTCTCCACTCATAAAACAGTACTGGAAGTCCTGGCCAGAACAATCAGGCAAAAGAAAAAAAAAAAAAAAGACCATCCAAATAGGAAGACAGAAAGTCAAACTATCCCTCTTTGCAGACAACATGAGTCTATACCTAGAAATCCCCGTAGTCTATCCCAAATGCTCCTTCAGCTATTAAACAACTTTTACAAAGTTTCAGAATATAAAATCAAGGTTGAAAAATTAGTAGCATTCCTATACACCAACAACAGCCAAGCCAAGAGCCAAATCAGGAAACCAACCCCATTCACATTGCCACAAAAAGAAAAATATATCTAGGAATACAGCTAACCAGGAAGTTGAAAGATCTCTACAATGATAAATACAAAACACTGCTCAACAAAACTAGAGATAACACAAACAAATGAAAAAATATCTCATGTTCATGAATAAGAAGAATCAATATCATCAAAACTGCCATACTGTCCAAAGCAATTTATAGATTCAACACATTCCTATCAAACTACCAATGATATTGTTTCCAGAACTAGAAAAGCTATTTAAAAATTTACACGGAAGCTCATATCCTAAAGATTTAGTCTGCTTGGGTAAATCTGTATTTTTATAAAATTTACTTGCAAGGCTGGCTTACAACATAATGAAACGTTATTTTGTAATCAAAAACTACATGAGCAATATCTTCAAAAGTATGAAGCTGATTATATTTTTGAGGCATTGAAATTTATTTTTGTGCATTATTCAAACAAGGAAAGTAAGATAAGCTTTATATGGGTTAAAATCAGCAACATTAAATTCACATACACCTGCTTGGTTACAATTTTATAACTATCATAAGAATCAAACGGATTCTGAGTTCTGTTTCTATTAAAAGTAATTATCACACTTTTTCTTCTTTCTCCCACTAAGTACAGCTGAAAACCTGAGAAATTACATACCAAACAAACATAAGAAGATTCTGAAAGGTACACAGAAGAAGACAGCCTGACCAGAGGGTTCATAATCTGAGAGTCAACAGAGGTAAGTTCCTTGAGTTTTTGCTTTGCTTTATATGTACCAGACTAGGTCCCTGAAAACCTGTAAACCAAAAAATGCCAATAGGTTCATACTTCATACAAAAAAAAGCCCTATAAAAAGCCTGCTCTCTCTATTTTGAGGATGAGAAAAAGAGCAGCCTAGCAAGACACAAAACACACCCCAAAAATATTTTACTCTGATCAAACATGACAAAATAAAACTGTAGCCCTAAGTTTATCCTCATTAGTGAACGCAGAGTAAACAGCCTAGACTTCCACTCTCATTGTATTTTTATAAGATCCTCTTCCCCTTCTTCACAGAGGTGTTGTCAGAGGGACATAGTTGACAGTTAGGACTTAAACTACTGCCCAGCAGTAATAATGCCATCCTCCTACATGTCTGTTTTCCAAGATAGAGGCCACATGTGGAGCTGGAAATCCTATGCAACCAAGCAGTATCTAGGATTCCTTTCCACGGCAAGGTGTCAATGGAGGCTGAGTATGAAATATGGAATTCAATCACCATTTGGAAGTAATGAGAAGGTAGCCATCTTCCTCCTGTCAGAGGAGACTGACCAAAACTGAATATTTAAATAAGTTCCAGCCTTTTAACACATTATACCTCAAATGTAGCATATTTAATCAAATATCATTCATCAAACCAAACAGGAAAATCTCAACTTGAATAAGAAGAGAAAATCAACAAATGTCAACAAGATGATATGCAGATTTTAAAATTATCTGAAAGTATTTAAAAGCAGCCATTACACAATTTTTCAATGAATAATTATAATTACTCTTGAAATTAAAGATAGCAAACCATAGCAAGCAAACTGGAGATAGAAAGTCAAGTGGAGGAGAGAGAGATCCAAGATGGCTGATCACTAGCAGCTCGGGATTGTAGCTCCCACTGAAAGAGCAGAGAACGAGAGGGCGACACACTTTCAGATCAATTTTTGTTGCTCACACACCAGGAGATTCCCAGCGGAGGAGCCCCACCTGTCGCCAGCGTGACTCTTGAGGCCGGTGAGGCGGTTTTGCCGCTGCCTTGGTGTGGCGGTTCTTGGTGCAGAGTCAGAAAAGCACCATCAATCTTAAAGCCGCTGTTTTGGCCGGAGCAGTGGGTTGCTCAGATTCTAGCGCTGGGAATCAACAAGTTGGACGTCCATTCAGAAACCCAACTATAAAGACGGTAATTATAAAGACCACAGATGGATAAATCTATAACGAAGGGAAGAAAACAGCCTAAAAAGGCTGAGAATACCCAAACTCAGAACACCTCTCCCTCTACAGGGGATCACAGTTCCTCATCAGAAACAGAACAAGGCCTGATGGAGAAAGACTGTGTTCCATTAGCAGAAGCTGGCTTTAAAAAGTGGATGATAAGAAACTTCTGGGAATTAAAAGAACTTGTTCTAACCCAATGCAAAGAAACTAAGAACTTTGAAAAAAGGTTTGACGAAATGTTAACAAGAATACACAATTTAGAGAGGAATATAAGTGAATTAATGGAGCTGAAAAATACAACACGAGAATTTTGCGAACTATGCACAAGTTTTAACAGCCGAATTGATCAAGTAGAAGAAAAGATATCAGAGGTCGAAGACCAACTTCATGAAATAAAACAAAAAGACAAGATTAGAGAAAAAAGGATAAAAAAGAACGAGCAAAGTCTCCAAGAAATATGGGACTATGTGAAAAGACCTAATCTACGTTTGATAGGTGTACCTGAATGTGACGAAGAGAATCAATCCAAGCTGGAAAATACGCTTCAGGATATTATTCAGGAAAACTTTCCCAACCTAGCAAGGCAGGACAATATTCAACTCCAGGAAATACAGAGAACACCACAAAAATATTCCTCAAGAAGGCCAACCTCAAGGCACATAATTGCCAGATTCACCAGGGTTGAAATGAAAGAGAAAATACTGAGGGCAGCCAGAGAGAAAGGTCAGGTTACCCATAAAGGGAAGCCCATCAGACTCACAGCAGATCTCTCAGTAGAAACCCTACAAGCCAGAAGAGAGTGGGGGCCAATATTCAACATCCTTAAAGAAAAAAACTTTCAACCCAGAATTTTACATCCAGCCAAACTAAGCTTCATAAGCGAAGGAAAAATAAAATCTTTTGTGAACAAGCAAGCACTCAGAGATTTCATCACCACCAGGCCTGCTTTAGAAGAGCTTTTGAAAGAACCACTACAAATAGAAAGGAACAACTAGTATCAGCCTTTCTAAAAAAATACCAAAAAATAAAGAACATCAACATATTTAAGAAATTGCATCAACCAACGGGCAAAACAGCCAGCTAACATTAAATGACAGTATCAAACACACATATATTGTTATTAATTTTAAATTTAAATCGACTAAATCCCCCAATCCAAAGACACAGACAGGCAAAAAAAGCCAAGACCCATTGGTATGCTACATCCAGATCCATCTCACATGCAAGGATACACAAAGACTCAAAACAAAGGGATGGTGAAAAATTTACCAACCAAATGGAGAGCTAAAATAAATAAATAGAAAGCAGGAGTTGCAATTTTTGCTGATAAAATAGATTTCAAAGCAATAAAGATCAAAAGAAGCAAAGAAGGATATTACATAAAGATAAAAGGATCAATGTAACAAGAAGAGCTAAAGATCCTAAACATATATGCACCCAATACAGAAATACCCAGATATATAAGACTTACAAAGAGACTTGGACCCCCACACAATAATAGCTGGAGACTTCAACATCAATATTAGATAGATCAATGAGACAGAATGTTAACATCGATATCCAGGACTTGAACTCAGATCTGGAACAAGTAGACTTAATTAACATTCATAGAACTCTCCACTTTAAATACACAAAATATACACTCTTATCAGTACTACATCACACGTATTTACAGGTTTAAATGAAATATTGGCTGGCTGCTTGTTAATTATTTTATTCCCTCATTTTTTTTTTATGTCTCTATTATTTAACACAATTACAGGCATACCCAGTTTTAGACTGCATTCTAGCCCGGGCAATAAAGCAACACCCCTGTTCTCTCTCCCTCTTCCTCTTCCTCTTTCTTCCTTTCCTGTATTCTTTTTCTTTTTTTTTTTTTTAATTCTTTTTCTTCCTAAAAAAAAAAAAAAAAAAGTCAAGTGGAAATTTTAGAACTCAAATACCTAATCTCTCTCTCTCTCTCTCTCTCTCTCTCTCACACACACACACACACACACACACACACACATCCT